TCCCGTGGTGGCGGGTTACTGGTTTGTCAAAAAAAATTAAAAAAAAAAAAAAAAAAAGAGTAGGAGGTGAAATACACAATTAAAATTTACACTTGCCAGAGTGCTCTGCAGCCAGGTGATGCTGCTGCTTAGCATCGAGGGCTTTCCTCCTGCAATAAACACCTCATCACTCAAGCAGCGGTGCATTTAATGGACACGAACATTTGAGCACCACTCTATTTGTAATCCTTTTAATAATATATTTTAAGACCAAAGGACGATGATGTGGCTGCCGTCGCTCAAGACAAGCTGCGTAAGGGCTGCAAGAGCAAGGCCGAACACCCACAGGTGCTGCCCACCACGGGGCTCATGAGCACCCCATGAACTGCTGCATGTCCTCCCTTCCCACGCTACTGTGAAACCCCTTCCTGCCTTCTCCTCTGACTCACCTTCAAGCTTGTAACCCGCTGAACTGGTGGGGCAGGCAGAACCCCTCTGAGGAAGGGTTTCGCCTTTGCTGAAACACCAGCTTTCCTTCCCAGCAACAGCCAAACCAGCGACATTTCTTCCCAGCACTGGAAGAGTGTAACTTTGTGCTCACCCTCAGGTTATGATGACTTCACACGATCCAATGCTGCAACCTGTGGAAGACAGAAAGGCTGCAGCCGCATCCCTCCCACCCCTCTGCCAGCCGTGGTAGAGCGGGTGGGCATGCAGACCCATCCCCCAGTTCGCAGCCTGGCCTTTTCACATAGGTGACACGCAACACCCGAGGGGTTTACACCCAGGTAACAGACTGTAGAACAGAGCGCCTGAGAAGCGATGTTTGGTGCTGACCTCTGGCAGGAGCTCAGAGCAAACGGCTGGGCACTGTAACCACAACAGCGACACCCAAAGAGGAACCAGATTATTCCTTAATACAGCTCCATTCATATTGTAGAACCTTATGATTGCAAGGGCAAAACCTGAACCAAACCTCAACAGCCCCAGGGATAGCATTTGCTTTCCAGTGCACATTTTCAGTGGATACACAGAATAGCATTTTCTGTTCCAGTAAAACAAGCACAAAAAAGGTAACTGTATAGTGCCATATTTTCAAGCTTACCCCTAACTGGGTTTCTGAGGATCATGAAGGCAAGCCATGATCAGGAGTCTGCTGTGGGGAAAAAAACTTTTATCCCCCAACCATGCTAGAGATCATTCTTCAAGAAGCCTGGAAAACCATCCTCTACCCACCTGCTCCTGCATTCCTGGAGGTCTGCAACTCTACAAAAACCGGAGGGGAATCCCAGCAGCACTGAAGATTTAAGACTCAAGTGTCATTGCTATGAAAGCACTTAGACTATCTACAACAGCTTCCTTTAATAAGTAATGTGTTCATAATAGTTCATTTAAAATTAACAGAATATTGTATCACTTTCAAGTTAGTTCACTGGAAAATATGTTAATGGTAAACTTACCAGAAAATGCTTCTTCCATAAAAGAATCCTTAGAAAGTAATTTCTCATTAAGAAAACTTACAATAGCTCATCAGTCCTGGAGAGTGACAATACAGACCATGATATTAAAAAAGGTAAATATGAATATGCTATGACCTGTGAAATTCAGAAGAATAGCTTCGCTATAGAAAGAATAAGGCATACTTCAAGTATGTATATGATGACTAGAAAATGTATAATTTCTGGAGTCAGGAGAGTAATCTGAAGTCTAGATTTCTGTATGGAGAACGTAGAGAAGCAACAGGACTTCATAAAGGCATGAAACATACCTGTGTGCAAATGCAGTCATGTGGTTACTTAAAACCATCCTCAGCGAATACAGATCAGGAGATAACTTGAAAATTTGCTTCTTCTGAAAACTCTCAAAATTCTAGGTATGCAAAGCTCTGCACAGCAAAAGCTTCAAAGATAAGTACAGATGTCATAAACCACAGAAAAAAATTATCATCAGAGGTAACTGAACAGAAGCATAAACCTCCTGAAATATTTAAAAAAGTTGCAGCCCCTAACATAAAAGCATGTCTGTCTGAAACTTAATGTGGTGGGTTGACCTTGGCTGGAGGCCAGGTGCCCACCAAAGCCACTGTATCACCCCCCTCCTTAGATACACAGGGGAGAGAAAATATAACAAAAAGTTTGTGGGTCAAGATAAGGACAGGGAGAGATCACTCACCAGCTACTGTCATGGGCAAAACTTGGGGAAATTAATTTATTACCAATCCAATCAGAGTAGGGTAATGAGAAATAAAACCAAATCTTAAAACACTGTCCTCCACCCCTCCCTTCTTCCCGGGCTCAACTTCCATCTCGATTTCTCTCCCTCCTCCCCCCCAGCAGCACAGGGGGATGGGGAATGGGGGTTGTGGTCAGTTCATCACACATCGTCTCTGCCGCTCCTTCCTCCTCAGGGGGAGGACTCCTCACACTCTGCCCCTGCTCCAGCCTGGGGTCCCTCCCACAGGAGACAGTCCTTCACCGACTTTTCCAACGTGAGTCCTTCCCAGGGGCTGCAGTTCTTCATGAACTGCTCCAGCGTGGGTCCCTTCCATGGGGTGCAGACCTTCAAGATCAGACTGCTCCAGCATGGGTCCCCCATGGGGTCACAAGTCCTGTCAGC